AGGATGAGGGGACACCTCCGAGCTTCATTGTGGGGTGGAGGAGGGTGAGGAGACACCTCGGAGCTTTGTGGTGTGGAGTAGAGGAGGATGAGGAGACACCTCAGAGCTTCATTGTGGGGTCAAGGAGGATGAGGAGACACCTCGGAGCTTCCTCAAATGGGGTCAAGGTGGATGAGGGGACACCTCAGAGCTCTGTGGTGTGGGGTGGAGGAGGGTGAGGGGACATTTTGGAGCTTCACTGTGGTCCATTCCCACTCAGGATATTCCATAATTCCAGAGCCCAGGGAGCATTTGGATGACACTCTCAGCTGTTGGGATTTTTGCACTGGGCAGTTTTTGGGGTTTTCCTGCACTTTGACCCTCGTGGGTCCATTTCCACTCAGGATATTCCACAATTCCAGAGCCCAGGGATCATTTGGACTATGCTCTCAGCTGTTGGGATTTTCGGACTGGGCAGTTTTGGGGTTTTCCCTCACTTTAACCCTCATGGGTCCATTCCCACTCAGGCCACTCCGTCCAACCACAAACCCCAAACCCCAAATCCCGTTCCTCCTTTCCCTTTAGGCCAATGCCAATTCTGTGAGCCCACCGGGCTGGCCAACCCCGCCGACATCTTCCACGTCAACACTGTGGGGCCGCTGCTGATGACCTTCGCCGTTTCGGCCAGCAAGCAGGCGCTGGCCTTCGGCGACTCCGAGGGCTGCGTCCACCTTTGGGCCGACTCGCCGGACGTCACCTTCAACGCTTACTCGCGGGAAACGGATTTTGCTCTGCCCTGCATGGTGGACACGCTGCCGCAGCTGGATTGGAGCCAGGAGCTGCTGCCGTTGGCGCTGATCCCAGTGCCGCTGACCAGCGAGGCGCTGCTGTCCGACTGGCCGGCCGCCAACTCGGCACCGGCGCCGCGGTAACGGCCGGGGGAGGTGGGGTGGGTGGGGAGGGTGAGAGGGTGAGGAGGGTGAGAGGAGGAGGAGGGTGAGGAAGGCGAGAGGGTGGGGAGGGTGAGGAGGTTGAGGAGGATGGGGAGGGTGAGGAGGTTGAGGAGGATGGGGAGATGGAGAGGATGAGGAGGATGAGGAGGGGAATGAGGAGGGTGAGAGGGTGAGGAGGGTGAGGAGGGTGAGGGGGTGAGGAGAGTGAGGAGGTTGAGGAGGATGGGGAGATGGAGAGGATGAGGAGGGTGAGGAGGGTGAGGAGGGGGATGAGGAGGGTGAGAGGATGAGGAGGATGAAGACGATGAGGCGGATGAGGAGGGTGAGGAGGGTGAGAGGATGGGGAGGGTGAGGAAGGGTGAGAGGATGAGGAGGATGAGGAGGGGAATGAAGAGGGTGAGAGGATGAGGAGGGTGAGGAGGATGAGGAGGGTGGGAGGATGGAGAGGGTGGGGAGGATGAGGAAGGTGAGGAGGGGAATGAGGAGGGTGGGGAGGGTGAGAGGGTGAGGAGGGTGAGGAAGATGAGGAGGATGAGAGGAGGGGGAGGGTGAGGAGGAGGGTGAGCAGGATGAGGAGGATGAAGACGATGAGGCGGATGAGGAGGGTGAGGAGGGTGAGAGGGTGAGGAAGATGGGGAGGAAGATGAAAAGGGTGAGGAGAATGAGGAAGGGGATGAGGAAGATGAGGATGGGGAGGATGGGGAGGATGAGGAGGGGGATGAGGATGAAGGGGATGAGGAAGGTGAGGAGGGGGATGAGTTGAGAGTTGTGGGAATGGAGGATGGGGTCAAAGCTCCCGAGGGGGAGGTGTTGGTAGGTCCCGGCTCTGTTGTATCCATGTGGAATCGAATTTTCCCTCTTTTTGTCCCAAAAACCCTCAGGCCAAAACCACAAAACGCCTCAGCCCAAAACCCATAAATCCCAAAAATCCTCAGCCCAAAGCACCTCAGACCAAAGCCCCAAAACCCTGAAACCCCTCAGGCCAAAATCCCAAAACCCCAAACGCCCAAAACTCCTCAGGCCAAAGCCCCCAAACCCCTCCGGCCAAAACCCCAAAAGCCCAAAAACCCGAAGTCTCTCAGGCCAAAACCCCAAAATCCCAAAACCCCTCAGCCCAAAAGCCCCAAAACTCTCAGCCCAGAACCCAAAAACCCGAAACCCCAAAATCCNGGATGAGAAGGAGGATGAGGAGGGTGAGAGAATGTGGAAGATGAGGAGGATGAGGAAGGTGAGGAGGATGGGGAGGGTGAGGTGAGGAGGATGAGGAGGGTGAGGAGGGTGTGGACGATGGGGAGGATGAGGAGGATGAGGAGGGGAATGAGGAGGATGAGAGGATGAGGAGGGTGAGGAGGGTGAGGAGGGTGAGGAGGATGAGAGGGTGAGGAGGGGGATGAGGAGTGTGAGGAGGATGGGGAGATGGAGAGGATGGGGAGGGTGAGGATGAGGAAGGTGAGGAGGTGAATGAGGAGGGTGAGAGGATGAGGAGGATGAGGGTGAGGAGGACGAGAGGATGAGGAGGGTGAGAGGGTGACGAGAGAGGATGAGGAGGATGGGGAGGATGAAGAGGGTGAGGAGGGTGAGGAAGGTGAGGAGGATGAGAGGATGAGGAGGGTGAGGAGGATGAGAGGGTGAGGAGGGTGAGGAGGGTGTGGATGATGGGGAGGATGAGGAGGATGAGGAGGGGAATGGGGAGGATGAGGAGGATGAGGAGGGGAATGAGGAGGATGAGAGGATGAGGAGGGTGAGGAGGGTGAGGAGGATGAGAGGGTGAGGAGGGGGATGAGGAGTGTGAGGAGGATGAGGAGGATGGGGAGATGGAGAGGATGGGGAGGGTGAGGATGAGGAAGGTGAGGAGGTGAATGAGGAGGGTGAGAGGATGGGGAGGATGAGGGTGAGGAGGACGAGAGGATGAGGAGGGTGAGAGGGTGAGGAGAGTGAGAGGGTGAGGAGAGAGGATGAGGAGGATGGGGAGGATGAAGAGGGTGAGGAAGGTGAGGAGGGTGAGAGGATGAGGAGGATGGGGACGATGAGGATGGTGAGGAGGGGGATGAGGAGGATGGGGAGGGTGAGGAGAATGAGGAGGAGGATGAGGATGGGGATGGATGAGGAGGGTGGGATGATGGAGAGGGTGGGGAGGGTGAGGAGGGGGAGGATGGGGAGGGTGAGGAGGGTGAGGAAGGCGAGAGGGTGGGGAGGGTGAGGAGGATGGGGAGATGGAGGTGATGAGGAGGATGAGAGGAGGAGGATGAGAGGATGAGGAGGGTGAGAGGGTGAGGAGGATGGGGAGGATGAAGACAGTGAGGAGGGGGATGAGGATGAGGAGAATGATGAGGAGGGTGAGGATGGGGACAGATGAGGAGGATGAGGAGGGTGGGAGGATGGAGAGGGTGGGGAGGGTGAGGAGGATGAGAGGGTGAGGAGAGCGAGAGGATGAGGAGGATGGGGAGGATGAGAGGGTGAGGAGGATGGGGAGGGTGAGGAGGGGGATGAGGATGGGGAGGGTGAGGAGGGGGATGAGGAGGGTGGGAGGATGGAGAGGGTGAGAGGGTGATGAGGGTGAGGAGGAGGATGAGGAGGGTGAGGAGGGGGATGGG